ACACACTATACTCTATGGAAATAAGCGCCAGTCCTGAAAGTCTCTCTTGAGACATGGAAAATGAATCATTTTCCTTCAGCTTAGTTACATAATTGCTTTCCAATTTACTGAACGATAGGCCTACAACGTCACCCATTCGCTAGGCTACGTTCATTTTCATTAAGGGAAGTCATCCACCTGGGCTGGGCTGGATTTTGACTGGGCAAAGCCAATGTCAATCAACATTCCATCCAATCTGAATTTTTATATGCAGTTGTGCATCTCCTCAGTTACTATAGCGTTGCCACTTCATGCTCGCCTGTTGCTGTTTATTTACCGGGTGTACAGTAGCTGGCTCTCGGGGGGCCCCCAGCGGCTCGGGGCTCCAAGCAGTTGCTTGGTTTGCCTGTTGACAAGGTGCGCCTCTGCGTCCACAGCAGCTGCAGCAGTACTCTTGACGTGCACAGATTTAGGTGGGTTTAGCCGCCGACGGGAGGCTTCATGTTCCTCCTCAATGCGAATCTCATTTAGGAGCTCTAGGAATGTGGGTGGAGTACTTCTTCTCTCTCTTAGCCTAAGACTCAGAAGCATCATGTCAGACTTGGTGGCACCTTTAAGGAGTTGCTCAATACATGCCTTGTCTTTGGAGGAAGGTGTGAGACCACCTTTTTGGACAACTTTATTCAGAACTCTTTCCAGTCTCCGCAGAAACTCTGATAATTTCTCACCTGGGTGTTGACACATCATTCTGAAAGCAAAATAGAGATCTTCTCCAGTCTCTGTTGTGCCAAAGGTGTTTTCAATAATATTTAAGTACTCAGTGGGTGTTGCGTTTGGGTTATTGGTTCTCACAGCTTGGAGAATTTCCATGGCAGGACCTTTAACACTCTCCATTATTCTCATCCGTTTTTCTCTGTCAGGTTTGTCCGACTCTTCAATCATCAGTCTAGCTTGTTCTAGCCAGTTCTCCAAGTGCTCTTCCCCAGCAGGTGTGGGAAACACCCCTGAAAAGGTCCGGAGCCGCCTGTAGCTGCTGTGATCACTGGTAGCTCTGGAGGATAGCTGCAAAACATCACCCACTGCCCTTATTATAGCTTCTGGGCTAGATGCTTGGAAAAGTGAATCCTGGCCTAAGTTTGACTCTGGCATTTGTTGAGAATCTATCCCCGACTGAGTAACATCCTCATTTCCTTCCCCTGATTGTCCAATGATCCTCCAAGAGAAATTACTACCTTCTGGTGTAACCTCAGCTGGAAAGGCTTTAGTATTTACTGCTTCCCTACACTCACAAAGAACAGTCAAACTTTGATTCTGAGGATCATACATTCTCCCTCTAACTCTAACACGTCCAAAAGCTTTGACTGTATGCAAAGTATCCTCTATCACACTAACTTCAGTTTCTTCAGGGATATCTTTGACCAAGACAGCATGTAACGGATCAATTCCTTCTCCTTTACACCAATTCACTAACTGCACCATCCTGTCTCTTCGCTGAGATAGAACACAACTGACCTTAGTGCAAACGGTTTTCAGCGGTACTTAGCAAAGAATAAGAAGGTTTGGTCTTTGTTTGTTTTTTTCTCTGATTTGCTCTTTGTCACTAGTCTATACTCAGACTGACCATATATAGGTTTTTTTTATGTACAGAAATGGGTTACTTTTCCTCTACAAGCAGGTTGTCTGGGTATAGTGCTATTTTTATGTAAATACACTCAAATAGATCCCAGCGGTGCCTCCATTTAATTATGTAGCACCCCACTACCCTGTCATGAAATAACTGAGGTCCAAATGTAAATAAACTAATGGAGTGCCCCCTTTTTTATTTTCTTTTTGGGTTCTTTATTTTCTGGTAGATACCCTTCAGCTTTACCTTAATTAAATCCAAACTTATTCCTCTGACTGATAAGGGAAATAACTTAAATAATTCCAGACAACCTGTTACAGAAACGGTTCCGTTTAATTAAAACTCAAAAAGAACATATACAATCAATAAAAAATAAATGCTCAGCCCAGACTCAAGCTACCCTCTTTTTAACCAGCAAACATAAAAAATAATAAAATAAACCACCTCTAGGCTCTTAACTTCTAAACCTAAATATCCCTCAAACCAATGTGAAATAAAGTTTAAACACTTTTCCTTTATCAACAATTCTTTTTTTTTTCTTCAACTGATTAAACACTTTTTCTCAAAACCGTATTCCAAAGTTTTTGCACTAACAGTACTCCAGTCTTTTACCACAAAAGAAACACATCACTAAACACTAAACGTGGGCCCACACACACACACAGTTCGGTACCGGTTTAACTATTCGTTGCAGGCCTGTTGAAGCTAGGGTGCGTCGCAACACAAAATCCTCTTCTCCCAGAATATAACGGGAACGGACTCGCTCACCCAACAGGTGCAAAACTCCGGCAGCGCACAAAAACTCCGGTCGTCCCTCTGTCTTCTCCACCTTAACCCAGGAGAACCTCCGCAGCAACGTTGGGGCTACGGTCGCCAGATTGACACGGTCACCCCGCCTCCCACGATCAGCCGCAGTTTCTCTCAGTTCAGCCGCGGTTCTCGTCTCTGGTTCTTCACCTCCGTCGCGCCCCAACACACACCTCAGAAGTCATAGACTGCGATGGTTGAGTCCACTTGTGGGAAAAACCCTGGAACAGTTCGGGGCCTTCTCCAAACTCGTTTTTGACTCTCCTAAACTGAGTCTCCATCAGCGTCCACCATTCTCTTTCTTTTTTTCTTTCTCCTCTCCTTCTTCCCATCATCCCACGGTCTGCTTTTTTTTTTCACTCCAAGCTGAGTTCACTTGTCCCTCAGTTTTTTTACTACTTCCATAGTCTTTTTTTCACATTATGAATAAAAATAATCAGTCACGATAAGTATATAATCGCTCAGATTACACATTGAAAACAAACAACCTGAAAATGAAGATACACGCCTCTCACCTGTATTTTTTAATACAGAGAACATAAACCTGTGATAATCTTGCAGATAATTTTTGTTTTTTGTTTTTTTTTTAGCCAGGGCTACATGTATAAATGAAAGTGCATGCATTATAAACAGACTATTCATTACTATGCTGAGCCTACCGATCAATGGTTTCAAACAGTAAAATAAAATAAAAAAATCAAATCAGCACCACTAACTGTGCTGTGCAACTGCTGCGTACAGCTGTCAGCAGTGGCTGATTGCAGCCAAAATAAAAGGAGCCTGGATGGAAAGAGTGGGGAGCCGATCCTGCAGGTGACGTTGCATGCCGAAGAGTGGAACAGTACTGGAGCACCGCAGAATCAGCAGTGGATCAGCAAGAGGGTGCGCTGTAGATGGATCGGCCTCCAGAAGCATAATAAGTGGAGCCCAACTTCTGGCCTCTAAATGGTGACTTTTAAGGACAATTATTGAACTTTGGACTTTTATAAAAGGTAAAGGGATTGTTTTATCGTGCCACTATTACGGGGGCTTTCAATGAAATAGAACATCTTGGACTTGCTTGTTTTGCTGTTTGGGTTTTTGAGTTGCTTGCTCCCTCTTGTCAAAGAGGGAGTTTGGGGCCGTATTAGACAACCGACTTCAGCCCAGTGTGCTTGGATTGTTAAAGGGGAGAAAAGCAAAAACAAAACAATCCAAACATGCAAAGTACAACAAGTATGACCTCTGCCCTGACTCTGCTGTCTATTCACCTGCTGGTATTCTGTGCCTGGCGTGCGGATCCCATTTTCCCCTCGCTCAGCAGCATGTCCATCTCTATCACCCGCAGGATCAGCTCTGCCCCTCACTCCATCCAGGCTCCTTTTATTTTGGCTTCAGTCAGCCTCTGCTGACACCTGCGCGCAGCAGTTGCGCAGTTAGTGTACTCTGCCTCCTTAGACAACCAACTTCAGCCCAGCTTGGTTGGTAAATGGGGAAAAGCAAAAACCAAAACAATCCAAACATGCAAAGCACCACAAAAAATTTAAATACAAAAAAAACACAGTCATGTTTTCCCCTGGGAATGTAGGGTTGGTGCGTGCAACGCACCAACCCTACAAAGCAATTCCACCCACTTAGACATTTCACCAACACTACATTCCCCACAATGCAACAGCAGTCCGCCAAGTCACAGAAGCACGCACAAGCGGCCGTGGCTTGTGGGCCGATACTAATGGTAATTAAATATCATCCAGGGGGCCATGGATAAACAATTTGCGGGCTGGAATCCGTCCCCCGGGCCTTGATTTTGACATATGTGCCATAGTACCTCTTAATTTGGCATCTTTTTCTAAACCTTCTGTTAGGACTTAATGTTTAAATTGCCTCTGCTGTTAAACTCTTTGCAAGCAAAGATCTTACTTGCAAAGAGGCCCACTGTTATAAATTACCTCACATGATTCACTTCTGTGACTGCAGTGATGCTGATACAGCTTTATCTCTCGCTCAGTATTCAAGGGTCGGGCACATGCTCACTGCACTTCCACTGTGTTCTTAGAGCACTGGGAGCAGGTGCTTATGTGGCAGAGTAACAATGAGACACACTCAAATGATAAGCATTTCCCCCACTGGTTTCTGCAAGCAGTGATTAAGTTTTTGTGTGAAATGTTATATTTGATCTTTAAATCCAATTTAAATCTAAACCTTTAAAGTCTTTAGCTTATATTGCATCTTGAAACCCTGGTTTGCTTCTGAGCTCATGCACAGTAAGGCAGTTTTTTTTAATGGAAGAAATTATATTGTTCATTAATATAAGAAATAAAAAAGACGTATTGTTATTGGAGTGAGACTGCCATGGAGCTGACCATGTCAGAATGTACAGAATGTGTTGTGCTTTTTGTTTTTCTGTTTTTGCTGCGGGACACTGGGTTGCTGCAGCAAAAAACAGACAATAAAAGTATTGATCCTAATCAGTAGATTCTGCAACCACAGCATCTATCTTTATCTTTTATCTTTAGTCGTATTTAAAGCTTTACCTGCTTACAGTTCCAAGTATTATCTGTTCAGAGGACCTTTGATCCACCATTTGAACCTGCCTGTTGTGGCTCCTCAGGTACACACTGTGGCTTCATCCTCCCTCCACCAGTGGTCAGCGCCCGTAACACCATCTCTGTTACCTTCCAGTCCGACAGTCGGCTCACAGACCGAGGATTCTCTGCAGAGTGGGAGGCGGTGTATCCTGAGGATATAGCAGGTACACCTTCACGGGTCTGGGCGCGAGCCATCGAAGAGCCTCGGTGCCTCGCTAACCAATCAAAACACATCTCACTGTCACATACTGAGCTGCTGCAGCAGTGGGGAAAATTGGGTCAGACATACCACTGAAGCTGTTCTTTTATCACATTGATTATCATCCAGAGAGACCTAAACCATTCATGAACTGGGAGACAAGGCTGCAGGGGGGGTCTAGCTCTGCGGCTATGAGTTGAACTGGCTTAGGATGAATTTAGGAAGGCTGACTGGGATAGAGAGCTGAGGTTTGTCAGGGCAGTGGAGGGTTCTGGCTGAGCAGGAGCGGCGATGAGAGATCCTGTGGGACTTGCAGGAGGAGCAAACCTGAGGCAGAGAGGCAGGCATCAGGCAGATATGGAGATGGGTTTTTCGACAACCAGAGGTTAGCAAACATCCTTTGGAAAACCAGAGAATCAGGAACTGTGGACAAGACTAGAGGGTCAGGATAGGACTGGACTGGACTGGACTGAATGGACTTCCGAATCAGCACTAAGGTTCCTGCCTCCTGAGGGAACCTGTTCCTTTTTGAGTCCTGCAGAGGTCCTCCTTAATCAGCACCAACCGGATCCACTTAGCACCAACCACAGCCACACATACACACACGCTCAGCAGCACAGAACCAAAACTAACTCACCTCTATAATCCCATTATTTATGTCAATATCTTTTATCTGCATTTCTCTGCTTACCTGAACCTTTTTCTTGGGCAAAACTGTTACTTTTAGATAATAAGATCAAGGTTTACTCCTCAGGTAGTCATAAAAATCTATTTTTCAAGCATGACTCGTCTCAGTTTTTGTGACAATGCAAATCTTTGATGCAATGTCAGACATTTGCATTTGCAAACACAGAGTACATTTGAGATTAAATAATACTACTTCGGCAATAGTATCTAGGTGTTACTTTATTGTATGACTCCTACCATGTCCGTTGGTTATGCTGTTCTTTTTACATCTCTTTGCAGGTGAGGAAGCAGACTGAATTTTTTTTATCATTATCTCCCTTTTATCTCCTCTTTCTTTCATCTTTTCTCCTTTTTTTCTGTTTTCCTCTTCTGTTCTACTTACATTGCAGTGTCCATGTAATCTGTAAAACTTCCTGTAATAAAGCAATTTATATGCATGAAACAAGCGAAACACTATGGCAATGCTCCACTTGAGAAAGTAAAATCTGTTGGGCTCTTTTTGGCATCAAGACAGTTATTCTTTTTGCCACATTGCCAAAAAAAAGGAAGACTTTTGCATCGCATACAGTTTGATAACAAAAAAAATCCTCTGTCTTAGTCTGTTTGCTTCAAAAGTTCCTTTACAAGATATTCATTATTTAAATTTTTTCTAAATTATTTTATCAGACCAAGTTAGACTGAAGTACTATCATGATTGATTGATTTGAGTTAATATCTTAATTCGACACTTGAGATTTCCTGCATGTGTCAGAACCACTGATCTCTATTTATTCATCGGATAGCTGATACGCTGAAATAAACTGAAGTCACCTGCCGCTATCTTGGTACAACCCACTTTCCAATATTGTGCCATAAAAATGCTTGTAATGTAATGTAATTTCCATAAGAAGGTAATCATTACATGTAATTTAATACTTTTGGCACATCATCAGAGTGTGTGTGTGTGTGTGTGTGTGTGTGTGTGTGTGTGTGTGTGTGTGTGTGTGTGTGTGTGTGTGTGTGTGTGTGTGTGTGTGTGTGTGTGTGTGCATGTGTGATATTCTTCATATCTGACTACAGTTTTATTATGCCCATTAAGACACTCATTTTAGTGTGATGAATTTGTATAATATTTTATATTACAAGATTTATAGGCTTCATAGACTTTATACTCAATACACAATGAGATGTGCCTACTTTTTTTATGATAAATTACAGTAAGCTACTTATGCTATGAAACAGCACGTGTCAAAGTGATCTTTGTTTTAAAAGTCTTAAGCCCTCCTGAAAATGTATGCTGTAGCATACATATATGGTTTTCATCCCAAACGGTCTCACTAGGGAGTACCAATTTGGCGGCTGGTGGCTTCACAGCAAGTGAGTAAATAGAGATCAGAGGTCAGAAAATCCATCTCATTGTGTCTTTCCTTCCTATTACAGAGATCCTGGGATGTGGCTTTACTTCTAAAGAGGAAACTGGTGTAATTAAGTCCCAGAACTGGCCAAAGAACTACAAGGCTAACACGGAGTGCATGTGGACCATCACTGTGCCACTGGGGGAAAAAATCACGCTGACGTTCACTCATTTTGACCTGGAACCCAAAGATCTTCTCTCCTCTAAATGCTACGACAACGTGATGCTGTATGACCTCAGTGGTTTGACTAATGCACTTAACCAAAAACATGGCAAGTTTCATGACGATTACTCTTCCCAACTATTTCCCACCATGATTATCACATCTATTTTAGTTTCTTACCCTTTAGGAGTCAATATATACATTCTAGATAAAAGGACCTCTGTGTTTGTTTTTACAATGGATTAGTTGTTTTCCTGTCCTCCAGGACCTTTATGTGGAACAACTTTGCCCAGCACCATTCAGACGAAAGGCAACAAGCTTCTGATCCGTTTCCATGCAGACATATTAACTGAGGCTAAAGGTTTTAGAGCTTACTGGACTACAAATCCCAGCTTGCCGGCACCCACTGAGCCACCTGCTGAGCCGAACCCCTGGGACAGCATCACCATAGGTAGAGTATCTGGGGGTTTTTTCAGAACAAAGAGGGGAAATAAAGCTGCATTGATCTGTAATATGGTAAAATCATAATCTTAACTGATCAGTCATAGTGTAGAAGCAGGGATTTATAGATTTGCTTTTTACAGAGTTTGGACAGTTTTGGGTACAGAACATTTCTTTAGCATATAAACTTAAAGCAATCATTGATGATTAAACTACAGACAAAACATCTAACCATTAATGAAATATTTGCTGCTTTCTGGAGCTGTTCATAAATGAATGTGCCAAAGGGGTCCTGTATGGGTGTGATTTTGTGATTTTGTGAGCCTGCTGCTCTCAGGAGATTGAACGTATCAGAGTCACTTTCTGCTTTCTGAATTTACTAAACACTATTCTGGCACCAACAGGTTCCCATGTGGAACCTTACCATTTAGAACATTTTAGAACCAACAGGCCATTTGGCACACATTTTAAATGTTTTCATAAACCTCAGCAAAATTAGTACAGGAGATCCTTTTTACTAAACCAATCACCCTCTAACTATTAATTCTACTTGCCCAGGTATGGCACAGATCAAGAAAATCAAAGATCCTAAACTTGTTGATGAATTTGCTCCATTATGACCAGCTGTATTATCAACGGCTTCACTCCAGCAAGTCTGGAGTCTACATGTATATCTGTCTTTGAGAAACTCGGAGTCAGTCCAGTACAGCCCAGATGATGTTGTAGAATCTTAACTTTTGGCCACTTATGGAGCTTTTATGGGATGCATTCACAATGCTCGCGGCTCAGTGGGGGGTATTCCTGCAGCTCACAGGACAGGCTCATATGAGTCAGAACCATTCCAGCAGAGGAGTACACCGGACGCAGACATTGGGCCAGGACAAAACCGGTGCTATTTTGGTTCTTTTGCAGATTTAAAACTCATCAGCCGTTGTATAAACGGGTGGTACCAGCAAGGTTGTGCTTGGTTTCAACTCAGAGCTTCTTCAAAATGAGTTCCATTATTTTTTGCCAGCGAAAACAGACCATGGTTCCGTAGATTACACCACATGGGAGGTAGTGTGATGTAAGATGTGATGTAAGAGGGACACACTGCATCAAACATATTTGTATAGTGATGCTCTGACGTTGAGGGTTGTAGTATTAATCCGGGAAGTCATAGTTCAAGTGGGGGGCGGGGGGGGGGTGTTTCTCTGTATCACTGATCCAATTTTAGAGGCTGAAGCAGATCTTGTGGATTCTGGGACCACAGTCGGTAATGACATAATGCCTGTACTTCTTCCTTTGCAGGATTTCTCTTTCTTTCCATCCTTCATCCGGAGATGAGCCCCAGGTGGCTGCAGATTGTAGCAGAAATATTTTCTTAAATAGAGTTTGATGGATGGACAGTGCTGTTTTCAAGGCCTTATTTTATTGCCAAGCTGAGAAAATTACATTATCAGCAGGGTTTCAGAGGGGAACAGGAAAATAAAATGTGCAACACGGAGCTTCATCTTTAACACACAGATTTTTGCTCCTCATTTTGACCCATCTGTTGTAGACTGGCCTGAAACATGTGGGAAACCAGCCATCCCTCCTGCTGTCGCGTCACGCATCGTGAATGGAGAAGAAGCCGTTGCACACTCCTGGCCTTGGCAGGTCTCCATGCAGGTGGGAACGTTCTCTAAAAGGTTCAAAAATATACCTCAACGTTTCACTGAAGGGTTCTGATTTCAGCGCCCTGCTTGTTTCAGGTCTGGCCTTCCAGTCAGTCTGAACCTTCATTTTTTCACACCTGTGGTGGGACTCTCATTCATAAAAACTGGGTGCTAACAGCAGCACACTGCTTCATTAGGTAAATAACCTGAAGAATCCAAGTTCCAGTTTTTCTCCTAAATTCATGCCTTTCCACTTAATAATTGAAAGCGAAGTTTAGATTGTTTAAAACACCTCTATCTTGTCTTATCAATGTTGATCAAGAGCAGTTTGGTAAAGAGCCATCTGTCATTCTCCATGGTGACATCAGGTGACAGCATCATGCTGCTGGGATGTTTTTGTTCTGTGGGGACATGGCAGCTGCTGAAGACAGTTTTAGATTTGAAATGTTTTCAATTCACTCTGCTATTATGCAGAACTTCACAGTTCAAGTTGAATAAATTACCATTAAGTGTCGGAAGTAGAAATGTGACACCATGTAGAAATGCTTAGAGGAGTGAAACCTTTCTCACGTTTGGTGCCTTTAGAATACAAAGTCTGACCCTTTAAGCATTTATTCACCCAGGTATGCAGATGAGCTGCATCGCTGGCGTATGTGCCTCGGGAAACACAACCTGACCACCACAGAGGTGACCGAACGCTGCATCAACATCTCTGGCATTCATCGCCATGAGGCCTTCCAGTACCCCACACTGCCCACTGTGGAGTTTGACATTGCTCTGGTGAGGCTGGCTGAAGATGCTGTCGCCTCAGATGAGATTTCCTTCGCCTGCCTTCCCTCTGAGGAGGAGACCCTTCCTGCAGGAAAGAAGTGCTACGCTACAGGCTGGGGGGACGAAACAGGTGCCAGTTTTACTTCATGGTCACCATCAGCCTGAATGACTCCTTAAAATCTTAAAGCTGTGTGTTACACTGCAGCTTGGTCTTTGTTGGTGATACTTGTGTGCCACCTGCTGGACAGAACGGGAAATAATCTTGCTGCCAACCTAAATGATGTTATTGTGACTGTTTTAATCCTTCATTTGTTTGATCAGGAGATTCAGTAAATCCGAAAGCTTCTGAGACCCTCAACCAGGTGGCCCTACCTGTTGTCCCTTATGACACCTGCAAACGGATGGATTACTGGTGGTTCCAGGTGAAGACCTCCATGATCTGCTGTGGGTACACACTGCCTGATGAGCTGAAGTCTGTCTGTCAGGTAAATCAAGTCCCTAAAGGGGCAACAGAACCACATTCTCTGAGGAATGTGCCTAATTCTGTGTTTGTCACTCTGATAGGGAGACTCAGGTGGTCCACTAGTTTGCCAGGACACCCCTGGTGGTTCCTGGGAGATTCACGGTATAACCAGCTTCGGTCCCATTGGATGCATAATGGACAAAAAGCCCTCTGTGTTCACCCGTGCCTCAGCCTACCTTCCTTGGATCTCAAATGTCATTCGCAGGGACATCTACATTGAGCACAGTAGGATCCCATCAGCTCAGATTAACCCACTCATTGGGTCGGTATGCTTCTTACTCACCTTCTGGCTTCTCCATTCAGCATCAGGTTGTGGAGGACCAAAGGATCTGTCTGGTACAGGCGGCACCATAACCTCCATGAATTATCCCAACACCTACAGCAATAACGCCCGCTGCGAGTGGAACATTGAGGTGCCTGTAGGGAAACTTGTGCACCTCCACTTCGGCGGTTTCTCCCTGGAGGACAGCCAACTGTGCTTGAATGACAAAGTCAAACTCACAGACAACGTAGGAAGTCTGGGTGCGTAAATGTCTGCCACAGTGCAATATTTTAAGCAAAAACATATCAATCAAGTGCTAAACATTGACATACCTTTCGAAAAACAAAGGATATATAAGATGAACAATATATCTTTATAAGAAATTCTATAATAATGACGCAATAAGTAAAAAACTAAATAGTAAGTAGTAGTAGTCCTGATTCAAGTATATAAAAATGGCTGTTCCCTATTCCACCAAAACTTAATAGTCTACATACAGGCTAAAATATCACAAACACTCTCACTTTCTGTAGCCATCAACCAGTTTTGAACATAGTTATTGCTGAATCTATGTCTTCTGAGAAATGTCAATCGAACTGGATGGTTTCTGTTCGCTGACTGGAACAAATTCCAGCAACCCTAAGGTTCAAGTCGTTATTTTGGGTTAATGTTGGCCATCTTTATTCCTTCTAAAACCTTTAGAAGAGTTTTCACTCCTTTGTTTTGTTGGTTAACCCAGTTATGTATCTTTATTTAGATGTTTATATGAGGTCAATCCTATTAATTTGGAAGCAGACCTCCTTCCAGGACCCCAGTGTATAAATGCTTCCTCCACCATGGTCATTATGGATTCCTTACACCTGGAAGCCTAGGTTTTCATCCCCTAAACAGGCATCTTCTAAAGGTCAGCCATTGTCTCTTGACCTCTAAGCCTTCCTCCAGATGCTCTTTTGAGAGCGTCCTTGAGGTTTGGACGTTAAAACAAGAGAATGTTTCTTAGTGACGCTTTTTTTCTCAAGGCAACGTAGCTAATATTCCTGCATCATCTAATTGATGATAAGCCCGAGCCTGACATTTGTTGGTTTCTGGGATGATTATGAACATCCTGACTGATGAAACTTTGACACAAACAGTTGGTCCAACGCAACAATTATAACCTGAGAGCCTTGTCAGACATGATTTTATTTTGGTAAGGTGGACTTTAAGTTACACATGGGTAATGCCACATCTAGTGGTAATGTCGAGCTCAGGGCTTTGGAAGGACGTTCATGAAATATGCAGCTGTGTTCAGGTCTCTAGCTGTTCATTACACAGGTAGCTAAAATGTAATTTCTGTCCTTCCACCCTGACAGCAAAACAGCCCCAAAACATAATGACACCACCCCAATGCTTGATAGGCAGTACAGTCCTCACCATGAGCTCTCCTAACATCATTATAGCCAATAAGCTAAAGCTTTGAGTTAATCTGTTCTTCCCTGTTTTAAAACATTAAATCTGAGAAGTGGATCCAACCATTCTTTGGGATGCCTTGAAGGCAGTTGTTAGATGTCAGTTTATAGCACATACAATATTTATATAAAAAAATAAATAAACTGGAACAGTTTCACATATTAAATTGATAATTAAAAAAGGAAAAAGACAACGTCAGAATAAGAGCAATCCAGAGACATTTGCTTCTCAGAGGTTTGTCAGGCAGATATATTACGAAGTATTACAAGGCAATACTATAGGCGCAACCAGAGGCAGCAGATGAGGAGAGTTTAAAAACACTAATGGAACACCTGGACCTTCCTTTAATTTACATCAAAACAGAGTATTAACTTTGCCCTACAGAGAAAGAGATGAGGGATGCAACTCCAGGTTGTGATGGTTTCCATTTAAATGCTATCAAGCAGGAAGACTAGTATAATATTTGGAGGCTACAAGCTTCTACCACCTGGTAAGAAAATGTGGTGCAGCGCTGAAGCAGGGGTTAAACCCACATTCCATGTACAGAGGCTTTGGTCCTAGATGCAGCCGTGACAGGCTAGAGTTGTTAAACTTTGCTGCATGTCTTCCCCTTCTAACACCAGTTCCTTTTAAGCTAATTTCAAAGATTTATAGAATAAAGGCCAGTAGAGCCTAAAAATAATCTTAAGAAAGTGCCCGGACTTTAGGTGGGAAAACATTATTAGATTTTTTATAATCCCAAAAACAGAGGGGATATGGAAAAGAAATAGAACTTAATTTATCTCACAATGGAAAAATTAACTCTCTAAGGTCTTGCTCAGACAGCAAGAGTGGCGGCTGTGGGGATCAAACCAGGTACTTGCAACCTTCTCAGAGCACAAGCGCACCTGCTCTAACCGCTTACTAACATTCCCCCAATGTGCACCAGAAGAGAACAACATATAAGGGGTACTGTATGCGGAAATAAGGCGTGGGACAATACACACATATGTTGGTGATGCCCAAATCTGAGGAAATATTGGGAAAGAGCATGGGAAGTATTACAGGAGGTTCTAGGCTATGGGGAATTTTGCAGACGGAAACATCCAGAGATATTTCATAAAATCTCTGCTAGCAGCTGAAGGAAAACTAAAGCAAGGCAGTGGCTCAGAGGACCTAGCATCAAGGAGCAATGTCTGAGAACAGCAGAGGAAGTTCCACATGGACAAGTCTACATATGTATCATGGGTACAGGAAGGGAAGTCTGATTTTAACTGGCATAAATGGATTGAATATTTAAAAGGGGGGTGTGACACCACAGACTAGCTTAAAACGAAGACTAACCTGAGATCAGGGTAATTTACATCTCTGAGAGGAACTCCCATGCCACTCTGTTGACTTGTGTTTTATTTTCTAAGTTATATTATTTTTTTTTCTATCATTTTTTTCACAACTGTAATGATGTAGTTTTTTCTTGTGAAGCCGTTTTACTTAATAAACCCAGTGCAGAACATTGCCTTGTGTTTTCAACAGGCACCTTGTGCAGCCCTGTTCCACCTCAAGATCTGGTGACTGATGGAAATAGGCTTCACATCAGCTTCTCTTCTAATGACAAGGTGGTGGACACAGGCTTTACTGTGAGCTGGACGGGGGTGGACCCTTCAAAAGGTAAGAGATTATATCAAGAAGATGGAAGGACCTCCCAACAGAACAACTGTTTCCGTCTCACAGTTCTGTTTTGTCTCATTCTATCGTAGCTCCATGTGGAGGACATTTTAGCAGCAAGCAGGGTGAAATAACCTCTCCAAACTGGCCTGGTGACTACCTCGCACAGAGTGTGTGCACATGGCGAATCAGTGTCCCTTCAGCTGAGAAGATCCATGTAGTCTTTACTGACTTTGAGCTGCAAGCCATGAACCTTTTGGGAAACTGTGTGGATTACGTAGAGATATTCAACGGAGAAACAATGGCCTCGCTTGGTTTGTTGCCATCATCCCAATTCCTCTCTTGTTCAGTTGATACTTCCTAGCCAGCAGGGTATACCGAGTTTTATCTGTCCTTCAGGTCGGTTCTGTGGCTTCGCTCCACCACCCACCATCACCGTCCCTGTCAACATGGTGGTTATTCGCTTTCTGAGTAATGAAGCTAATCAGCAGAAAGGTTTTCGTGGTTACTGGACCACTGATGCTAGTGTGTTTCCAACGTTACCTCCTCCTTCTCCAAACCCATGGGACAACATCACCATCAGTGAGTTGAGACCAAAAACAAAATATGATGATGTGACTTAAACTTTCTATGATAAGGTTTACAGTTTGTTGGTGACATACATCAGACCTTTCTCAGTCTTGGATAGAGTAGAAATTTTCCTAACAATCCTTCTGCTCTCAGACTGGCCAGAAGATTGTGGAAATCCAGCAGTGGAGCCAGAAACAGCCACTCCTCGGGTTGTTAACGGGGAGGAGGCAAAACCCCACTCCTGGCCTTGGCAAGTCTCCATGCAGGTACACAACCATCTTTTTTATCTGCCTTCCTAGTTCCTCAAACACCTGTAAAAAGTAAAGTAAAGTCTGGCAATAGGAGGGATATCTTCTTGGTTGTTTTTGTTCAATAACCTTCCATTCTTTTGAACAATTTGAAATGACTATCTGAATATGTGCATCCTTGTCAGCACCAGGAGGACACTTCAATAACACTGACACTGACAATGAGAAGCAAGCCTGTTTGCTATCACCATCAGAGCATCATGGCGGCAAAATTAGCTTACAGAAAGGGACATGGACATCAGATTTATGGCCATGAACAGTCTGTTGGAGTTTAAATGCAGTTTTGGATATTTTGTCTGCTTTACAGAGCAGAAAAAAACCTAAGTAGTGGTTTAAACCTCTTACACCCTAAGGGGGTATAAATAAATTTCTGCCTGACAAAAACACACAAAAGTAAATAACTTATAGCCTCACAGCTATTAGATTTAAGAAGAAACTTTTGGTACGTCTGTAAAGGTAAGATGTCATAGAATGGTTTTCTGGTGTCAGCACCATTGTAGCTTTGACCCTGCCTGAACTATTAGGGACAAAATACAAAATATTTTGCATTTTTTGAACCTCGCCAAAATTTTCTTTTAAATAAACATTGCAAAACACTACCAAAATATTATTTATAGCACAAAAAAGTAGTACAGACTTTCAAATCTAAATGTTGTGTAAAACTATACCAAATTTGGTATCAATCAGATGAATCATATTTATTTTAGAATGGTATTAGTGAGAAATTTCTTAGGCGGAGAGGCCATTTTGGCACATTTATCCATAAATGTCACCAAACTGTGCCAAATGTGTTTTTTACATCAATACTGGGGGTTTGTTAAAATTACGAGGTCACGTAGCAGCTGGACCCGCCGGTGGGTCCGTAGGGTTCTAGGGGTTAATGGTCACAAACATAGTAGAAACAAAGAAAAGACAAAAAGTCCCTAATTGTTTAGCAAGATATTAACAAAGTTGAATGTGTACACAATAAAAACATTTATTGTTTTGTTTATAAAAATAAAGAATATTGCAGCTTTTCTCTGAAGTGGAGATTAAAAACATATCTAAAACGGGTCTTATGTTTACCTTAAATGCAAGTAGAAAAACAAAGCAAGGACAGATAGATCAACAGATCATTAAACAAAGCTGTGCAGTTTACATCTATCTAAGGAAAACCAGTTGATTGCATCGACTCATTGACTCGAATGCAATCCCTCACACTAAGCCTACTTGTAGCGACAGTGGAGAGGAAAAACTCCCTTTTAACAGGAAGAAACCTCCACCAGAACCAGGCTCAGTGTGAGCGGCCATCTGCTGAGGCCGACTGGGGTTCAAGGGGACAGAAGCAGACATACAAAAGGCAACTGTAAAAGGCGGCCCCGTTCAGGAAACACATGCAAAGAAGGAAGGAAAGAAAAGCAGAAGGAAAGTCTGTTAGGACTCTCATTGAGAACACATGACCTTACCCACAGCTCTTTGTTCAATTAGAACAGAAAGACCATTTAAAGTGTAAAGGAATGATAGAAAGCTAGATTTTAGTGAATAAACTGAGTTTAATCAAATTTTGCTGCATTTATACAATAATATTGGATAATTTTAATAGCTTTTACCTTAATGATTTGATGTATCCTTGAGTAATCAAACTGCTGAAAAAATGTCCTTATTTTGTTGCAAGTTTGTGTCATTCTATCACACTAAACATACATGGGATGACAGTAGAAGGGAAAAACTCAGTTTTAACAGGAAGAAGCCTCAGTGTAAGTGGGCTTTTATACATGCTGACTGAGGGCTCAAGGAGATAGAAACAGAAATACAAAGGAACATAGAAGCACTGATCCAGTTCAAATCAGTTTATTTATACAGCCCAATTCACAGCATATTTTCTCTCAATGCACCTTGCAAAGAGAATACACAATAAATGCAGTATCAATAAATACTTTATAAGTTAGAAGGGATAACGGTAAATTAGCTCCATAGATGGCTCCATATGGGAAATAAACAGGTATTCAGAGGAGCTCTCTGAGACAGTTTTTAAAAGGATGAAAGAGAGGACATCCAGTTAGTCACATTTAAAGCTGGGCCCTTAGCTATATCCAGAAGAAAAACAGGACTAAAAAGTGAAAAACAAGCCAAGCTTCAACATCTACAAACAAGGCTGGCAGCAGCACAGATGATATTTATATTCCAGGATGAAATTACAGCGAAACAGAAAGGGAACAGATGAAGCTATAATGATGAGAAAGGCAGAGAGCGCATTAAGTTAGACATTTAACTAAAAAATACTGCAGAGTGGGAGAATAAAGACTGAATGAAGCAGAATGATTAAAAGTGGTCCCTATGTCCTCCAGCAGTCTGAGCCCATAGCAACATAACTATAAAGATAACTCTGGAAAACCTAAGCCACTCTAACCAAAAGCTTTATAAAAATAAGAAAACTTTTAAGCCAGGGCTGCACAGTGCTGCACTGTTGCCTTGCAACAAGAAGGTTCTGGGTTCGGTTCACGACTGCTCTTGTCTTTCTGCTTGGAGTTTGCATGTTCTCTCTGTGCATCCAGGTCCTCCGGCTTCCTACCACACTCCAAAAACATGACTGTTAGGTTACGTGGCTTCTCTACATTGTCCTTAGGTGTCAGTGTGTGTGCCTTGTGTGTCTTTATGTTCCTCTGTGTTGCCCTGCGACAGACTGGTGACCCGTCCAGTTTTGTACCCTAGCCTTAAAAGTAGACAGGGTGACTGCCTCATGATAGCTGGTTCCACAGGAGAGAAGCCTGATAATTAAAATATCTGCCTCCCATTGTACTTTTAGAAATTCTAGGAATCACTAGTAAAAATGCAGATTTACAGTGAAGCTATCTTGGCACATAAGTAACAATCAGATCTCTAATATCAAATAGAGCTTGGTTATTTAGGGCTTTATGTGAGAAGGAGCAGAAGGAACATATTAGATAAAAAAACAGACCTTATTCTTGATTTAAAAGGAAGCCAATGAAGCCAATAATGACCTTTAATCACCGTATATAGACTATATCTTTAGAAGGATTTTGAACATTTCCTAAAAGTTACTAAACTTATAGCTATGTTCCCTGAAAAGAAGCGAATTACCTTGCCCTTAAAACAGATTTAATACTTAAAAAAAGCATTTTTTTCTCTCTCTTTTTTCAGAACTTGCCTTAAAATAATTGCTGCTGTGGGGCTTTAATTCCACAAGTTTATATTTCAGTGAAGAGTTCTTATGAAATGTTCTGATTTTAAACACTATTTATTTTTTTTGGCAGGCTTCACCCTTCCCTCCATTTCTTTACATGCACGGCTGTGGGGGCTCTCTGATTCATGAAGAGTGGGTTCTTACAGCTGCTCACTGTTTTATGTTGTAAGTACATCACCTTGAATCCATAACCTGGTTGGAATGAAGGTTGTATTATTAAATCTTGGCTTTAGTAGTTCCCTCGCAACAATGTGGTAACAACTGTTGGTGGTAAACTGTTTACTTACTGTCCTCTAACTGGTGCTTATCACCCTTCTCTGTAGCCCCCTGAACACAACATCCTTCTGGCGTATGTGTTTGGGAAAACACCACATGAACTCCTCCATGGATGTTCCCTCGGCAGAGAAGTGCTACAAGGTGGACAGAATAATCAGACATGAGGGCTTTGTGTATGAGCAGGATAGCACAGACATCAGCAATGACATCGCCTTGGTGCATTTGACCGAGCCTGTAAATATGACGAAGGAGATCAGCCCCATCTGTCTGCCGAAAGCCGGGGCTGTGATGCCAGCGGGGACTAAGTGCTTCGTTACAGGATGGGGAGACGAGAAAGGTAGGAATTGCCTCAAATCATGAGATTGATTAACTTTGATTATGAACTTTTAGTCAACAGATTTATATTTTATGACCAATAATTACGTTCGATATTGTTACAGTTTTCTTTGCCACTGGGTGGAGCTGTATGGAGAGGAAATCACTAGCCTAACATGAGGGGATTATAAACTCACCTGGTTGAATTCATCCTCACAAGGTGTGTCCAATCTGCACAATTTAATTCACTGAGCAGACTGGATTCACCTGGTTCAGCGGCTGGGCAAAACAAAGGCTATATTCACACTGCAGGCTGAAGTGACCTAAAGCCGATTTTTTGGCCCAAATGCAACCTGGATCTGATCTTTTCATGGCAGTCTGAACAGCCACTTGGCTATGTGGTCCTGAATCCGATGCAAATCTGATCTTTCCAAATGCGACCTGTGTCTGAACGGCCAGGTCGCATTCATCCGACCTGAACGCCATTAATACCCGACAAAGGTCACTACTCTGGGTCTTGCTATGAAGAAGCGGCAGGGAAACAACAAACATGGCGGACGATGATGTAGAGAGCAGTATTTATGTTGAACCAACTTGAAAAGATTGTGTTTTTATGGATGGGAAAGATCGCTAGATGCGCTCTACCATCCAGGTTTACTTCCGTAAACACAGTGCTCCACTACGCATGCGGGACACTTTTGTTGTATGACTACAGTTCACACAGGAGATCACATACAAGTCGCATATATTTGGAAACGTGAACGACAATGCAAAAAAATCATATCTCACAAAAAAATCGGAATTGAGCATCAAGGTCTGCATTGTGAACGTAGCCAAATATATGGCATAGAGATGACATGATGAATCCCCGTCTCCCACCTGTGGTCGTTGGAGAATAATGCATCAACTCAACTTTTACTGTCATATAGTCGCTTTGGAAAAATCACAACTCGTTAATGCCCTAATGTGAGTGCTCTGTTTTGAAGAAGGGGTTGAAACAATCTGCTGAAAGTTTGAGGGGTTGTGATGTCCCCTAATAACATTTGCTAGAAACAAGTCTTGAGGTTTTTCAATGCTGGAAAAAGGAGGTTTTTCAATGCTTCATTATGAAATAAGACTAGAGTATTTAATCTTTTAACTTAAAATGTGTTTTACCCAGGTAACCTGTTTCCTGTTGTGGCTAAAAAGCTGAACCAGGCAGCCCTTCCTGTTATTGACTTCCAGACCTGCAGCAAACCTGAATACTGGTTGGACTCGGTCAGACCCTCCATGATCTGCGCTGGCTACGAGTCCCCGGATGAGCTCAAATCAGCCTGCCAGGTACGCAGACACTCTGAAAATAAGCTGAGAAAAGTTCTTCCAAATAAAGCTTTTATTTTGAAGACCTCATATAAGCATTACATAGCTGGTTGTCTTTTTCTGAAACAGTCAGTCAACTGTTTTGTTTGCAGCCATTCAGTCTTTATTAGAGCTGCCTGCTGCCCTGATCACAACCAGAACTGGACAAAAGCACATTTGGCCACTATTTGTTTGCCATAATGAGCAACCATGCAAACAGGGCCGTGTTGTAATTAGAGCTCCAGACCTGTAAAAAATTGTTTGTAGAACTCCGGCAGGGATGTTTTGCTGAGGATTATTTCCTCACGTTATTAATTTACTATTGACTCATTTGTCTGTTCTGCTCTCCTGCAGGGAGACTCAGGCGGTCCATTTTCCTGCTCAGTCACTGGGACCTGGGAGGTGCACGGCGTGGTCAGCTTTGGTCCTCAAGGCTGCATCAGAGACAAAAAACCCTCAGTGTTCACACGAGTGTCTGCCTTCAATGACTGGATCCACGACAACATCAGGAAGTTTGCATATGAAAACCAAAAGGCGATATAAAAGATCAGGATTTAATGCTTTTAGATTTATTTTTTAAGATTATGGCATTTTAATCTGGATGTTTTAATGGGATTGAAAACTCCCCAATTAGGTAATAATAAAACTATCAGTATTATGGTCTGTAATGTCTTGGTCAACAAGTTATCAAAGTATTTAATTTAATAGAAAAACATTAGGTTGAACATCTCTGCCAATATGAGTATATATTTGTTTTTCCTCTTTCTCTTCAGTTGTGATGCTCAAAATTGTCCTAGCTTTTGATTTACATTGAAAACACAGCACATCACTCCAGGGGTCAAGAGAAAATGGTCAGAACCAGTCAGATAACTACGAATGTGACAAAAAAACATCTTTTTAAAAATAAAAGCTCTAAATCAGCCAAATTTTCAAGTTTCAAAGATATATTGCACTCATCTGTGACATAATAAAAAGCTTAATTCAAACATTGCTCTGTTCCACCTACAATCTTGACTGATATGGTTACAGGAAAGTGCTGTTGCATCATGGGTAAAGCTGGCTCAGGTGTAAACTCCCACCTCCTGTGCTGTGATTGGTCCAATGTGTTTTAGACCTGCTCTGACCCTTAACAGCTTTCAGTCAGTCAGTCTGGCCAGGCTAGGAAAAGTCAATGTATGTAGAAGAACCTTTTAATTAAAACATGGATCCCATGATTGACGTGTTCAAGTAAAACCAGTGGATCAAATCCAGCAAACACCAGTTTCCTTCTGTTAGATTTATCATGAGGCTGGAAACTTACCTGATAAACATGAGACTTAAGAACTACTGAGTGATCAATGAACTAAAAAGTGAGTTATTGGCCGCTATGGTGATTAGAGACAGGGCTGAGAAAAAGAGGCAAACAAGAACTTAAACCTCAAGCAAACTTCATGAGTGGATGAACCGTCTGCATTGCAACAGATATGAAAAGTTAAAGGGAACATCTGGTTCTGAATCACAGAACTAAGACATAATACTGTGGTTTGGGGTTTGGGAGTGCAAACTCAGACCTCCACAATGTTTAGTAGTAGACCATCAGGGGTACACTGGGTTTCAGCAAATGAATACATCTGGGTGTTTGATTTGGGCGTAAGGAATTCCACCTGTTGGTGCAGAACTGGGATCTGAATATTTCATTGGTCAGAATTTAGAAAATGTGGGTGATGTTTCCACTGGCGGGCTAACAAGCACCAAACAGAGCTGGGTTTGTTCAACCCTCCTCACACATTCTGGCTGTAACTAACACTAATAGATGATGGTGGTGGAAAGGAGACCGTCCACCTCAAAGGTCTGCATCAAATGGAAAAAATATCAGTGGAAATATGTTTTGTATCAATGAGCTTCCTTTAAAGTGTGTAGTTTGAGATGTCTGTGTGTTTTCCTGTCATTAACAACTTGCTGAATAAAATCATTCCAAATCTAAAAGATTAATTATTTATGTCAACATAGACAAATTTTCCATGTTGTACTGTTTGGATGAGTTTTTCCACTGCTGTTAAGTTATTGAGTAGTTTTGACATTTAGAACTTATTTCCCTTAAGATCGCCCCCCCATCCCTCCCAGCCACCAGCTTCTATCTTCCCAGCCCCATTTCCTCACAGAGGGAGTCTGCAGGACATGTTCATGTTTGGGACTTTATCCCTCAGGTCACGTGAGCCGGCCAGTGGGCCAATAGGAGAGCATGGCTCGGGTTTCAGCATGGGAGAGCAGAGAGGAAGGAAGAAGAACTAATCTGTGCTTCATGAGCTGGACAGAAATCTGCCGGCATCAACAGCATTCCTGAAAACTGGATTTTCCTTTTGCTTTTAAAGGACTAAAATGTTGAGGATTAAGGAAGGTCCTGCCAGTGGCAGGGGTCTGGGGTCTTTCCTCTAACCAAGGGAGAAGAGGAGGAGGAGCTGCAGTGTTTCCCTCATTTAAAGTCTCTGTTGGAGTTACCTTGGAGGAAGAATGGGTGCAGGAGCCATGACCATCTGTGTGAGTAAAGCATGCTGGAGACTTTCCTGATAACTTCTAACGGCAAAATGGAAATAGCTGCTCTGAGAGGCAGCGTAAGAGATTTTGTCAAAAGAAAAATATCATACAATGTTTCCTGATATGAAAACAACTTTCTTCCTTAAATCAAAGCTAGTTATGTTTGTCCATCTCTTGTCTTAAGCGCAGAGACATTGCTTCACTTCTCACCAACTCTTTGGTTTCCAGCTCATCCCGGCATGATGTCAGTTTCCTTAATGCTCCTGTTTCCTCATGGCTTTTTTTTCCCTGCCTGTTGTGTCTTGAACTACATTTCTCAGTTTCTCTGAGCCCAACAGCTGCTGATGCCAGCGGACCCTTTCCAGTTTCTTCCATGGCCACCCACATACTAGAGGGAGACTGGAAAAGAGGAGGCTGCAGGGGGAGGGGCTGCAGGGGGAGGGGCTGGGAGCAACACATGCTGGGGCTTGTTTTCAGTCCCCTTCATGCAGAAAACTTGGCCAGAGGAGCAAGATTCCACTTCCTATTCACTTCTCAAACTTAAAAAAATATATAATAAAGATTTAATTTTCATTAGAACAGGCATTATTTCAATAAGACCACTGTTAATAAAAACAATTACCGTATGTTCTTTTTTTACCCCTTTATATAGGAAGTAGTTCCAGAACAGACAACTAACAAGAAAGAAAAAAGAGGAAAAGAGGCTGTGCATCAGCCTGCTCTCTGCTGCTAGTCTGAGATCTTTCAGATCTCTAGCAAACACAGGAAATGAGGTAGAAATACAAAAATGAAATAACATAAACAGGGTTACAATAGTTATATTCAAATAACTGAAATCTATCCTGAAAGGTTTTACAAACTCTCTCCTGTCTAATATATCCTGCTAAAGTCTAAAAACATATATCAACTTTCACATGACATGAATAACTATATGGACCTCTTCTTTTTTTTAGATATGTATATATATAACAAGAAATGTTGTTTCACTAAATAAAAGCTAAATGCACTGTATACAATGGGTAGGGGTCTCAGATTTATTTATATTGTATGTGACGAAAACGGAAGCTAAAATATTTGTTACCATAAGCGTGGCCAATAAACTCGTCCCTGTTTGCTGTTTTCAGTCATTGAATGAACAGTAATAACAAAGTATTTAACAAAGTACTTAAAGTATTTAAGTTATTTTTGCCTAAAATACGCGCATTTGTTCTTGGATTGAGGAGGTAAAAGAGATATTTTGCCGATGGAACAAGACAATTTACATTTAGAATAACAAAACACAATAGCATTGTCTTATTTCAAGTGCATTTTATCTAAATATCTTCTTTTAATAGTAAAAATACTAATTCCATTGGCAAAGCATTTAATTTACCCACTCAAATTAAGAGTAAACACACTTAATTTAAGAAATGTTTACTTATTTCTAGATCGTTTTTACAATTCCCCCCTAGCCAAATGTAGCAGAGTTTGGTTCAGCTATCTGTGTTCATATTGTTTTTAATCCGTGTTTTTTTTTTTTCTCTCTTCCGCTGCTCCCCCTATCCCGTCTCTCGGTGTAACATCATCGGATCTGTCGTTTTGAGACATCTTCTTTGCAGTTACATGTCACTGATATACAAAGTAGCTGCGTGGTTGGAGGAGAGACCCACAGCAGCACTCAGAGAATATTAACCAGCAGCTACTTTGATGTTTAGGTAAAAGTTAGGAGACGGGTTGGGTAAAAAATTAGAGATCATACTACTGAAAAATCAGTTCGACATACAGAGCTTTTTCAGCTAAAAATGGCAACAAATTGTAAGTTTATACAAGTTACCGTAGTATTATAATGCAAGAAGCTTGAGAAAACATGGTTGGTTCGTCTTTACTAGTTAAAAAAAGCTTGGCTCCTCAGAGGACCATGAGTGACAGTTACAGGTTAAAATGAACATGTTTTCTTATTGTACCGACAGAATCAGACTGCAGAGCTTCTACATATCTTGAAATGTTCTTTCTGGCATCATCATATTAAAGAGGTTCATAAATCTTTTTAAACAGAGCACAGAGAGAAGTAGGGAGAGCTGCAGATTTAAAGGGGAAACAAATTTACTGGGATATACAACACAAAATAAAATACATATCCAAGTTTACTAGAATGTTTACAAGAATAAAATATGCTATGCTATATTTAAAAAGCAGCATATCCATATTTTTCTGGATGGATGGAAACTGTACTTCAAGGGATGCAGTATATATCGATTTTGGTATAAGAATCGGCTGTTATTCATAATTTTTTATACATTAATGTTTTGGGGCCCTATATATGTATTGCACTAAAATAAATCTCTTTAACTACACTGGAAAAAATCTAAATCTAGATAAGTAATTTTTTCTTAAAATAAGTACATTTGTCCTTGAATTGAGGAGGTAAAAGAGACATTTTGCCGATGGAACAAAATAATTTACACTTAAAATAAGAAAACACAATTGCATTGTCTTATTTCCAGCGCATTTTATCTAATTATCTTATTTTAAGAGTAAATCTACTTATTCCATTGGCAAAATATCTCATTTACTGACTCAAATTAAGGATAAATACACTTAGTTTAAGAAATTTTTACTTATTTCTACATCATTTTTCCAGTGTATCTATAAATATAAATATGTGTATTAAAGTTCTGTTGTGTTCTCAACAATAGGAAAGCAGTCAATAAATATATGTTTGAGCTCATTTTTGGAAAATACGAAAACCTACTTAATAAAATGGTTCCGGTGGAGCATCTTTAGGTCCATCGGCCCCCACCTGAGTGGCCCCACCAACTTTCATCACAAAGTTACACACTTGGTTCCATTGCATCCTTCTGCACTATTTGATGTCAGTAAAAGTAAACATGTTTTTTAAGAACAACTTTATATCCTCAAATTTGGAACAAGGCTGCGCGCCCTTTGCCACAAAGTGAGTATAAATCAAGCTTAAAGACTCTAGAAACTCTGCTAAACACACAGTCACCTTTTTCAAGCTCTTTCATATGCTTATAAGAAAACGAATGCTTATTTAATATTAGTGGGAAACATTAATGAATATAAAGAGTCTCTTTCCATCTGGGAAGTTGGTTTCAATCAGGCTGAGACTCAAATGTAGCTTGAAACCATCCTAGTTCAGTCGTTACATTGTGTATCATTTCACCTATTTGAGCGGCTGCACCATAGACTCACATGTGACATAATGGAGTGGTTGCCATGGGAACAGCACTGAGACTCCATTCTACTCTGCAGGATCCAGAACAGCAGGAAGTCTTAACTGATACCAGGAGTGAATAAACAAAACAGATAAACAATGCAGAGATAAATGAGCTGTAAGTAACACAGATCATTAGGAGAGGATAGTTTAACTTCGATATGATCATTTTAAATTAGACTGGACATAAGATGTTGGTTTATGAATCCAAGACCTTCAATTTTCACCTATGCAATATATAGGTGTCTCTCTCTTTAAGGAAGATGTAAACTGGTTAACAGCAACACACTGGTCCCTTCTTTTCCACTTCCCTTCAGCTCACAGCCCACTCTGTCCTCATATAGATGACGGCCTGTGGGTGCATTTCCTGCAGCACAGACCTGGCGCTGCTTCATGAGGCCTCTGTCACTGTATGGCTGATGTCTGCTCTCCTCCCTCCAACAGCACAACCAGGCTGCAGTGTTGGTCAAAGAAGACATGAAGAAGATTGCCCAGATATCCATGCTGAGATCCAGATCTGTGGCAGCTAGAAACAGCCAGATATTTGGAGTGCCCCTGTTGGAGCTGAGGGAGCAGGGCCTGTTGGAGGATGGAGTGCCTCTGGTGGTAAAGAGGATGGTGGAGCATCTCAGGCGCCACGGTAAGCATAAATTATATAAGGAATTTTTACTTTTAATTGCTTAGAAGAATGTCCAGATTGTCTTTACAATTTAGTAGCCTAAGTTTGTCCAGTTACATTAACAATCCATTAGTTTGCTGTATTTTCCATATATTTCAACATTTTTAGGTCTGCTTTATTCACCTAAAAGAATACGTAGATCTTATCTTTAACATACCATAAATCACAAAAGCCAATCTTATTAAACATTTTCTCTGAAATGTTGAATCAAATAATAAATTAAAGAAGCAAAAAAGTTAATAAATAAAATAATATCTACTTCCAGCCCCTTACTTTAGTCTTTAAAATGTATAACATATATGTCTCCCAGGTATCTGCTTGTTTAAAACGTTGTATTCAGAAATAAACAAACAAAATAAATAATTTTTTCCTTCATGTCTGTTTGTGATGGTTCCTACATACTGCAGCGACTCGGTTTACCACTAGATGTCACAGGAAGCTTATATGACAGGTTACAAGCATACACATGATTTGATTTTATTTACTAGCAAGACACTTTCTGGATGGGGTGCAGAGAGTTGTGTTAAACTACTACGCCAAGTCTTTGACTAAAGAGAC